CTGTAATATCAAGGTGATGTCGTTATCTTGATTGTTGGTACTAGGAAGGTTCCTTCCTAGTACCAACAATAAAAATGTCACACCAACCAACCCAAATAGTAAAGTTAAACTCCGAATTTATTACAACAATAAAAAGACGTCTCACCTAATACATAGTGCGTTGTAATATTTTTGAATTTTATTATTAGGTGTGTCTTCATAGCTATGTTGTAGAAGACATCAAAACAATTTTTCAACTTTTGATTAGAGGCTGTACTTGCACCTATCTTTCAAAGTTTTCTTTGCCACTCTGATTAAACTACCAGTGGAATGGAACAATAGCACAACGTGCCAATATATAAAGGAAAAGGAGACCTACTAAAATGCTCCTCATGTCGAGGTATACGTCTTCTGAACACCCCTTAAAAGTTATTGAAAAAATCATTGAGAGAAGACTGTTGTCGTGCGTTTCAATAGGTGGTTACTACCAGTAAGGCCTAATGGCAGGGAAAATCACCATTAATGCTATTTATATCATTCGTCAACTACAGGAAAAATATTTGGCAAAGCAAAAGCAGCTGTTCCATGTATTTGTAGACATGGAAAAGGCTTTTGACAAAGTGCCTCATGAGGCAATCAGGTGGAATGTACGTAGACAGCTTGTTCCCGAACATTTGGTTTGGCTAGGAAGCACCTCCTTGCTTCGGTACTGATGTGGCATAGCATTCCTCTACCGCTGCGCTCAGAGCTGTACAACACAGCTATGCGTCCTGTTCTGATATATGATGCAGAAACGTATCCTATGACAACAAAATTCAAACAGCAGCTTCATCAAACTGACATGAAGATGCAGAACTCGTTGGATGCAACATTTTGACATAAGGAACCATATTCATACAACCGAGACCCTGAACCGATCGGGACTGTGCACGTTGAAGGATGCGTGTCGTCGTCATCGCCTACGATAGTTTGGCCATGTGAAGCGAAGCGAAAACAATACAATAATTTCCGTTACTGAGCACCAGGTGCCTGGCACCCGCCCAAGAGGTCGCCTAAAAGTCCTGAACGCAGACCATACAGGAGGACTTGAAGGCACTTGGTCTCAAGGAAACAGACGCATTGGATATATTGGCTTGGAGACAGAAGCTGATGAATGGAATAAATAAATCCGACCCATAACGAATGGAGACTATAAACGAGGATTGATTGTAACAGATAAAGGCAAAATTGTAAACCAAATTTTGGGTGCAAGAGTAAATATGCTATCATTTAAAATTTTTAATCTACTGAATGGTATTACATACGGAATGAAGAGACAAGTAGAGTTAGAAATATATGAAGGCTTGAATGGAAAAATAAATGTGCGAAATTTGCATATGTGCAATGCAAAATACATAAATGTTCGAATTTTAAAAATTATTCTATATTTTATAGGTAGCCAGTGGAAGGGAACATAATATGGAAATGTATGAGAAAAGAAAGGGGCATGAACAATTAGACGAGCAGCAGAGTTAAAAGCTTTACTTAAATGATAGAGTATAGAATCAGGAGGATTATAGTAGAGCGAGTTACAATAATCAATCTGACAAACTGACAAAGTAACAAAAAGGAGAAGGGTAGGATCATCAAGAAAAGGCAAAAGTTTTTTTTATTCTACGTAAATGAAAGTAAGAATTTTTAGCAACACTATTAATCTGAAAAGAAAGAGAAATACTAGAATCAAAGATAAAGCCTAGACTACGAAACTTGTGAGAAACATCAAAAGTTTTAGAATCAGGGAAGATAATAGGAGGAATAGTAATAGAGTGTTTAGATTTATTAAAACAAATTAATTCAAATTTAGAATGATTGAATTTAAAACACATAGAGTTAGACCAAGCAATAATTGAAGAAAGACATAGGTATAGATTATGAAAAACATTATTAAGATTAGATGGAGGAAAAGAAGTATAAATATAAGAATCATCAGCATATAGTTGACTAGAGAAAGAAACATTATTAATAATACGAGGTAGTTCAGAAGTATAGAATATAAATAGAAGAGTGCCAAGGATAAAAACCTGAGGTACCCCGAAAGTAAGAGTAGATGAGTTATAAATAGAGTTATTGAAAACAACAGAAGAAAAACAATTACAGAGATAAGAAAAAAACCAAGATAGACAAGAATCAGAAATATTAAAAAAAAGATCTAGCAAACACAGATTTATTCCAAGCTGCACATCTGCGTGTTAGAACGGCAACTTCAGCTGTTCCAGTACAATCCAGAACATACCCTAAAAATTGAAACGAAGTGACTTTTTCTACCTCAATGGCTTCAAAAACATTGCTATTTCGAATTTGTTGTTGTGGATTGATGCAAGCAGGACAAACAAAATTGGACATTTTAGATAATGTACCAATTATTTTTGAACAACGTTTGTGACACAACTGGTTACACTGCTGACACTTGATTGAATTGTTACCTACACCAGCTTTACAAACTGAACAGGGCCATCGTCCAGTAGCTGTGGAACGGATGGGTTCACCAGTGTTCATTGCTTTGGTTTTGCTGATGTTGACTTTGAATCCATGATCGGCGAGTCTGGTGTTCAAATCTTCAAACATCTGTGCTGCATTCTGATCAGATGTGGCTGTCAAAACGATATCATCAGCATATATTAGATTCCAAATGTCACCAGTGCGTATCGGTTTTGTGATTTCTTCCATGACAATTATAAATAACAGTGGACTGAGAATCGAGCCTTGGTGAACTCCAACGCCGATGTCAAATGCATCTGTGTTTCCAACCGTTGTGCTGACGAGAGTATTAGTATTCGTATACATTTCCATCACAAGTCGAACAAGATATTCTGGAATGAGTTGTCGACGTAGAATCCACTTGACTGCTTCACGGGTAGCTTGATCAAATGCTTTTTCAAGGTCTACAAAACGTGTGATAGTTGTTGATGCTTTTTTTTTCTTTCAAATTTATTTGACAAAAAAAAGTCAGGAGATCAAAAAAGTAACAAAAGTACTTGCGAAGACCACCATGACTAAAATCAAACAAAAATTACAATAATAGACTAATAATAATACATTCATAAAATTTGTTAAATACATTTAGCAACCACGTTAATAAATAAATACATTTCATAAGAAAAGTAATAAAAGTACTGAATCACACAACAAAATGAAAGTCATACATAAACAAAACACAGTCAATTAGCACGCCCATGTGCTGTGCGAGATACTTCTCTTCAATTGCCGAAAGATGTGAATTGCATCAATTGTTGATTTCCTTGCTAGGAAACCAAATTGATAATTTCCGATTGTGATGCACGACGTTAATCTTCTCAATGATTTTCTCGACAATTTTCAGGGAGTGTTCTAACAGACGTATACCCCAATATGATAAACAGTTTAATGGATCACCTTTGTATAGCGTAACTGTCATGCTATAATAGTTCCATTCCGTCGGCATTGAGCAATTTCTCCAAACTTCACGGCAAAGTTTTAGTAACACTTGGATACCTGCAGTACCAGATGCTTTGATAATGTCATTTGTAAGTCCAGTGGGCCCTGCTGCCTTTCCATCCTTCATAGATTTCAGAGCTTCTGTAAGCTCCTCTACAGTGATGTCTGGAATCGGACCTTCAATGGGTGGAGCGTCAAAGTTGACAGTGATGGGATTTGTTTCATTTAACAAACGGTTGAGGTATTCTCTCCACTGTAGTTTAATCTCATCTTGTTCAAAAACCATCTCATTTTTGTCGTTTTTGATACATGAGGCACCAACCATGTCTTTTTTCGTACGCTTTGCTTGTTTTGCTATACGATACAGAGATTTCATTTGTTCACCTTAGCTTTTAGCGAGCCACTCTCTGCACTGATCTGTCTGAGCCTGTGCGACTTGACGTCTTGCATTTGAGATTTCATTTGTTCACCTTTGCTTTTAGTGAACCACTCTCTGCACTGATCTGTCTGAGCCTGTGCGACTTGACGTCTTGCATAGTTGTTTTTCTCACGGAAAATTTTATGGTTATCAACAGACTTTGCTTTTTTCTATTGCTTGTATGCAGTTTTCTTTTCAGCTATTGCATTTTGTACACTGTCATTCCACCACCAAGTGTCGCGCTCATGCTGACGTTTTGTACCAGTTTTCCCTCAAACTGTAGTTGCAGCGTTTATTAAAACGGTTTTGTATGTACTCCAATCTGCACTAGCTTGCGATTGGTGGTCTAATTGTGTGGCGACAATCTGTTGAAATTTTTCTCGATGAATATTGCTTTTCAGCTTCCACGTTTTGATTCTCCGAGGCATTTGTTTAGACTTATGTTGTGATAGTTCGACAACCAAGTCTGCCACAAGGAGTCTATGTTGGGCGACACATGATTCGCCAGGTATAACTTTGACATTTTTGAATAGCCTTCGGTGTTGTTGCTTGACAGCGAAGAAATCAATTTGCGTGGCTGATGGTCCACTTTTGTATGTTATGAGATGTTCTAACCTCTTTCTAAAATATGTGTTCAGTAAACAAAACCCGTGACTTTCAGCAAACTCAAGGATGCGGTTGCCATCTTCATTCCGTTTTCCATAGCCAAAACCGCCATGTACGTTGTCAAAACCATCTGTTTTCTCTCCAACGTGGCCATTGAGATCGCCTCCAATCAGGATTGTTTCAGATTTTGGTATTGTTGAGATGTTGTCAGAGAACGCAGCCCAGAAATCATTTTTCATCTCTTCTGATTCGCCTGTCTGTGGTGCGTATGCAGAAAAAATAGTCATTGTTTGCTTTTCTAGGCGAAGCCTAATCCACATGAGACGTGGATTAATTCTTTTTAATATCCAGTACTTCTTAGGCTAGCGGTTCTCTGACAAAAATAAAATTCCAACACCATTTTTGGCCGTCTTTTGACCATTCCAGAATAGTTTAAATCTAAATCTTTTAAATCTAGTTATATTATTTTAATTAATAGAATTATTATTCTTATCATTAGTTTTAATTACAGTAAAGTGAGACCTAATAAAGTTATATTACTTGCTATTAGTATTATTATGATTAATATAATTATTGTTACTAACTATATTTATTTTTTTGTTAGAATTAAATTTATTGTTTTTATTGTTATTATTAGCCCTAAGATTAAAGTAAAAAATTCGCCGCCGAACTACTCTCGTCGGAGACAAATTAGTGTAAGAGAAGCTCAAGAGAAAGTCTCTAGAATGAGACATAATAATAGTTACAAGTTATAAAAAAGGTCAGTGCTATAAGGCGTGCGGATTCGCACGGCGAACACGCCGTTGAGATGCTATAAGGCGTGAAAAATCCACACGGCCAATTGAACGTGTTAATGCTATAAAGCGTGAGGCCGCACGGCGAAATAGACGTTGAGATGCTATAAGGCGTGCGAATCTCGAATGGGCGAATAGCGAATACGACGTCCAGACGTTCGAAATTATAAATCGTGAGAAACCCGCACGTCGAATTCGACGTTGAGATGCTATAAGGCGTGCGAATCACGAGCGGGCGAATGCGACGTTTAGACAGTGAAAAGCGTGAAAATCGAACGGCGAATTCCACGTTGAAATGGCCGAAGTCTGTACAACAAAGTTGACGCTATTTTGATGATACAGGACGCAGTCAAAGCGCAAAATTTGACGTTTATTAAGACAATATAAAGCATTTTTGTTATAGAATGACAATTTTAAAAATTAAAAATTTATTACATAAAGTGTCATATAGTAAGACACACAGACAAGCACACATATTTACTCAGTAATGCATAGAGGTACATTGTTCAAGTGTTAAGACAAAACAATTACGTAAAGACCCAAGATTGTTATACCAAGACTGTCGACAAAACCATGCTTCAAATTGTATATATTTTTTCTTGCTACAGGAAAGTTTGATTGATATGTAGGAAATTTGTTAAAAGTGTTGGGTTTGCACCAGCATCCAACATATTTTTAGCCTGCTCCAAAGCAGCTCCTGCAGGGCGTCGGTTATCTGCATATAGTGCAAATACAGATGTACCAACATCATGGATGTGCTCCAAACACATCCTCTTAATAATCAAAACTCCTAAAATGTTTAAGCAGCCATTACAAAATTTGCTATAAAAATTTACTATTTCATTATTAAATATTTCAATTTTTTAAATATTATTTTCACTATTAATAAACAAAATTGAATTATCATTAATCATTATTGAAAATTTCAATTTAGTTTTTAAGTATTAGTATCAACATTCAACAATAAATAAAATTTAATTATCACTAATCATTATAAAATATTTCAATTTAAATTTTAAAATATCACAATCAATTTAATTTTTAAAATATTATCACAATTACAATAAACAAAATTTAATTATTGTAAAGAATACTATTACTACTTTCCGATTTTTGCAGTATGCCACATAAACTGCTGCAGTGCAACCACACAACAAGGATGCCTGGTTAGGTCGTGTCCCAGTTTTTTTTTAAATTTGCAAACGGCTTTACATTTCCATAGTGCTTACAGACCCACTTAATGCAGCAACCATTGTCGAATATACAAAAATTAACATAATATGAAAATATATAAAAATTTAAAATAATCATAATAATTTAAATTAAGGCTTGACAATATTTTAAAAATATGTAAACAACCTCTGACTGTGTTGCATATCTGGATCAAGATCAACAATTTTGGCGCTTTCCAGAAAACATTTTTTTTTTAATTTTTAACTTTTTCTTTAATGTCACGCTTCATTGGATGGTAGTTTTTTTTTAAAACTTTCTATCACTTCAACCGATATTTCAACATTCACAAATTCATCTCCCAACTTTAACGAATCGAAGCTCATTTTCTCAAATTAGAGTGATAAAGTAACAAATTTAGTTTTTTAAAATTAAATTAAATTAAACAAAACAATCAAAATCAAACAAATCTTCAAAAGCCTTGACGCTTACAACTGAAGGAAGAAGGAAAATGAACTCTTGCCAAAGATAATAAATATTAGCATGACGATGCGCAAATAAAAATATAAAAATTTATTTTGAAAAATTTATTTTCAATTGTAATTAACGGAAACTTTTACAAATACTTGTTAAAATAATATTCGGCATAAAAAAATGTTTTGAACATATTTTTTCGTTCGCACGCCTTATAGCAGTCTAACAAGTTCATGGATTTATCGTATAGAAAAAGATATAGAAAAAATAGTCATAGTAAAAAAGAAAAGAATTCACTTGTTCAGAAGCAAAAAACAAGAATCCACCCAAATTCCAAAACCACCGAGAAAACGTGCCACCATCACGCTAAACAAAGACTTCGTTAGTTAGCGAAAATTATTTGATAAAAGCGACAAATTGCGAGATGGACTAAACAAGTAGCATTTAAAAACTTGATTATGGTGAATTGTAGTCGTAGTTAAAATTATTGATGATTTGTGGATGAAAGAAAACCGTTGAAATTTGAAATAAAATCGGTTATTATGACGACGATGGTGAAATTTATATAATTCTTATAAATAAATGGATATTGTAGCATATTTACCTTTAGTGGTGAATATGCTACAATATCCATCGGTAGGGAAATTATCACGTGAGAGTATCTGGTTTCTTGACAAACCACGTTTAGCAATAGAAATTGCTCTTCCGCTATCGTGAAAACGTAAAAAAGTAAATCCAACGTGCAAATAAAAAGTCAAAAAGAAGATTCACATAGTTAAAAAACCGACATCAACAATTAACAAAATGGTCCAATCAAATGACGACCCGATCGCCATATTGCATATTTTCAAGAAAACGGTGTCAACAGATTTGATTTTTTGTTCAAATCATCTCGGTGTTCACAAATTGTTGAGGAAATGTTCGATTATTACATTTCTCTTTGTTGTCGAATTATAAATTTTACAATTTAAGTTCATTACGCATGTACAGTAAGATGGAGTAGGCTAAAGCTTTCAGTACTGATTGTAAACAATCCCGTAGGAAAAATTAACTCCATACATTATCTAGTTAGAAAAGTCTATTCTACTACTACAGACAAATTATGTACCTACAAGTGTTTTCTGTTAACTCCATTGAAAGAAACGCTTTGATGGTTCTAATTTATGTATTTGATACTTGTTCAAGTGTTTGATTTCATTGAATTATAAATAAGGATAAAATATATAGTTAAATCTCTTAGACTTTTCATTTAATTTTTAAAAAATAAAACAATACCTATTTCACAAAAACACAGTTTTTCACTCTTACTAGCCAGTTAGTAGTGATTAAAAAATTTATATTGATGTAGATTATTTATTAAAACACATTCGATTTAATTATGTTACAATTGTTTTGAGAAGCAGTTCAGAATTAAATTCTAAATTTTTCAATTTAAATAACGTCAAATTGTTCCACATAAACGCTAAAAAATTTCCATTTCCTTTATTAAAATTGTAAATATTTTTGGTTTTGATACTAAAACACTTCAAACATAAATACACAATAACGTTTATAAATTAAAGGTAACAAGTTGGATAGAAACAAAAATGCGTTTTAAAAACGAGATTTGTCGAGGGTCTCATGGTTGGCCGATGTTGTTCTCGGTGTCCGGAAAATTCATCGTGGAAAATTCATTGTGGCAAATTCATCGTGGGAAAATTCATCGTGGGGGAAAATTCATCGTGGGAAAATTCATCGTGGGGGAAAATTCATCGTGGGAAAATTCATCGGGGGGGAAAATTCTTCGAGTGGGAAAATTCATAGTGGGGTAAAATTTATTGTGAAAAACAGTTTTTGCAATTACACACCTTACAATTTTGTCATGACGAGTATGTAAACGTGCCCGACATACAAGATTTTGATATTGATCACATTTCCAGAAAGTTTTTTCTTCTGTAGCCGCATCTTTTACGAACAAGTGACCTGAGTCAATTAATTTTCTTTTTCCTTTTTCACTGTACACGAATTCTTAGAGACATTTTTACACAAAAATTAGCGAATCGTGATGCAAAAACTACTTCCTCATTTCTGACACACTTCACCTACAGTATTTTATTATAGACTTTTACTTAACTTACTCAGACACGTCCGACGTCCGCGGTCCACCTTTGTATATATTTTTTATACCATACTAAGGGTATACAAATGATAGTATTAATAAGCATGGATGCTACACGTTGCCTATTGATATAACCTCCAATACAGTATACTTTGTATATTATACGTATATATTATATACGTTATATGTTATATACGATATATACGATATATACGATGAAATTCACTCCATGGTGAATTTTACCCCACCACGATGAATTTTTCCACGATGAATTTTACCCCACGATGAATTTTTCCACGATGAATTTTACTCCCCGATGAATTTTACCCCACGATGAATTTTCTCGCGATGAATTTTCCACGATAAATTTTCCCACGATGAATTTTCCACGATGAATTTTCCGTAAACCGTTGTTCTCGATATAGCTTAATTATTATAGTGAACTAATGGTGAACTTTTAAGCAATCATTTAGCTGAAAGATTGTTTTGTGATGAAAGAATCGAGACAATCTGTTTTCAATTTTCATTTTTTAAAAAATTGTTGCAAAATATTTAATTAAAATTACATCTAAAACTGGAGACCAAAATCCAAAAAGCAAACTATAAAATACATTACTATAGTATAAATAAATTAAAATGTCAGTCGACACTTCAATAGACATAAAAATAAATATTAAAAAGTCAGCTCTTTGAAAATAGTAACAAATTTTTAACATTACACAACAGAACATAAATTGATATAAAATAATTGCTTGAGATGAGCAAGTTGGATTAAATAATATAAATAGGCAAAAATGGCAGATTTAAGACAAGGAATGTCCAACATTAAAAAAGAAATAATACTGAGTTAAAAAAGTTGCAACTAATTTTTGCATGATTGACAGCACTCGGCGGCATTCATGCTGCAAAACTCCTTGCTGCACCAGCTGTACATGTCACCGTATAGGCACTCTGTCGGATCAATTTAAGTTGCATTTTATTATCAGTTTAAGCATTTAAAATGTTTACAAGAAGATTTAAATTAATTAGACATATATAAAAATTAAAAGTATTTTTAACTTGAAATATAAATGTTAGAAGATGTATAACACGTAATCAGAACAGACGAACCTCCTTTACTTTCCTTCGAATAGCTTGCACAGGCTGCACAGCACGTTGAAGCAACACTGGGATCGTAACAAAAGCCTGCGAACATGCCTTTACACCAATCGGCAGAATCAACGCAGGTTCCCACTGTTTTATTTATTTGTATGATTATTCAAGTTTTCATAATTTTTTCTTATTTATTCATTAACAAATCAAATTTTTGATTTACTTTTCTCTGTTGTTAAATACTATTGCAAATAAAAAAATGTAGTTAATTATTTTGCACCAACCTTCAAATATTTTTTTCTTGTCTTTGCATGTTTTACAACATAAACTGGCAACTTCCGTTCTTTGGCATTCGGCTGGTCCTTGCACATAGGAGCTACACCAATCGGCTTTGTCACCATACTCGCAATCTGAAATGAAGTTCACTTATTTAAAATACTAAAATATGGCATTAAACAATTGTTGTCGTTTAAAAAAGTAATCACTTTGGTTTGTAGAATCGTAATATTTTGCGCAAGTTGTGCAGCAAGTGCTTTTTGAACTGTAACACTCCGAAGGTTTTATTGTTGAACAGTAGAATGCCTGGTCACCATTTGGACACGAGGGGATTTCTAATGTTTCAAAGAAAATTCAATCAATTACAATGTTACTGGTCATTCAACTAAACAGTTCATACGCACCAGAGTTGGGAGTTATGTATGCTCGACAGGAGGCGCAACAGAGATTGGCCACTTCAGATATCTTGCATTCGTCTGCACCCTTAACGTATAATCTGCACCAGGAAGCTTTGTCTCCATATTCACAGCCTACAATCAATTTATGTTCTCCATTTATACGAAAAACAGAACGCACAATGAAATGAACAAGTAAAAAATCATTTACCAGGATAAGAAGGGTTATAAAAGGAGGAACACTTGAGGCAACAGGTTTCCTTGCTTCCGTAGCACGCGTCAGATGTTATGGTTGAACACCAGGATGCTCTGTCTCCCAGTGGACATGTTCCTGATGATGGTTTCTGTGTTGTCGTCGTCGTTGTTATCGTTGTTGTTGTTACTGTAAAAGACTGACAAGTTTTACAACATTGTTGTCTTAACGACGCGTCTTTGCAGTGATCAAGTGAGCAACCTGCTATCTTATCCCCGAACTCACAGTCTACAATTTAAATTTATTCTAATATGGTAAAACAATTCTTTTGCATAAAAAATGTTTAAAAATATTACTTTGAATTTCAGTTTTAAAAGTTAAACAGTACTGGCAGCAGTAGTCACTGGATGTGTAACATCCGTTCGATGACATTGTTGAGCACCAGTCAACTTTATCTCCGTATCTGCAATTAGGAACAGGCAAATTCAATTCTCTTTTCAAACAGGTAGCACAACATTGTGATTGTTTGTTGGAGTCGTAGCATTGGCGAGAAGATATTGAAGCACATGTGTTATCTCGGTCACCATACTCGCAGCCTAATTATAACAAGAAAATAAAACTAATGATCGTCTAATATAAATTTTATAAAAAATAAAGTTGAACCTGGAAATTTTTTATTTCTAATTTTTGCGCAAGATGTGCAGCACAGAGCTGAGTAATAATTATCGTAACACATCCAGGGCAGGTTGGATGTCATATAGGAGCAACTTATGGATCCACTCTGATAGTTGAAGACATCTTTGTAGTCACCATAGATGCACGAAGCTGAGAATATTCGTATCAAAAATAAATATTTTAATATGTCATGCAAAAACATTTATTTGTTCTCATTTAAAGAATGAAACATTTAAAAATATGTGAGCTTACCGGGCGCAGCAGAAGCCCTGTTATCGGCCACACAAACTCCTCTAATACACCAAAATTTGTTGGAACACGTTGTGCCATCTAACGCTCTTTGTTCCACTCTGCTCACACATTTGCCTTGCGATGGATCGTAACATTTCAACTCTCTGCAGATCGATGCATCTCTTTCTCCGCCACCCTAAAAAATTTTGAATGACGCGTTTTTGTTTTGACACGCGTTTTGACAGAAAGCATTAAACTAACTAACCGCGCAGTAGAATGCGTTTTGTCCGTACAAAAGTTGGCATTGTTTGTCAACTGAATATTTCTGTCCTGGATATTGTTGAAGGAATCCAGCCTGATCAGTGGGTTCAACATCGAAAGCTTCGTTAAGCAAGCAGTTGTTGTTGCCTCTGTTAATATAAAACATTGGTTTTTAAACATGGTGTTTTTATATTGAAAGATTGTATTCTTACTGGTCCAATTTAGCTATGTAATTTCTAAAGTAGTTGATTGAACATTGAGAGAAAGTGAACGGATTGTTGAAGGTTTGGTTGGTGAGACTTCCAGGAGCAGGTGACATGATGAACTGGTCACTTGCACCGCATGTGTTGTCCGACCCATCGTGCCAAGCTCCCAAACTGTTTTCAAATTTTTAATGATATGAATATAAGTTTTTGTTTAAATTTAAAAATTAATTCATTTTTACTTGTGTCCAATTTCGTGTGAGGCAGTTTCAATGGTTGCATATTGACCGAAATTCTTATTGATAGATACTCCTTTTAGTGTACATGTTGCTCCAATATTTGCCAGGCCAGTTATTTGGTAGGTGTCGTTGTGAAAGGAGTTGTAAGCTAGCATAGTGTAACTATTAAAAGATATTTATTGATCGATTGAAAATTAATTTTTTCGATTGAGAACAAATTAATTGATTCAAATTTATCATTTTGTTTTCTCACTCACTCAGTAAAAAGGGCAGCTGAATCAAATCTTGGAAGATTCATCGCATTATTTGCAATCCACTTTTCAAACTCATCCAAAGCATTATATGCTTCTGTGGCGTATGATGACAATTTTATGTTTGGTTTCTCTGTGAACTGTGAATCACTTGGAGTCTGTTAGAAAAATATCAATAAAATTGGTTTTTTGATTTATCATTTTTTATTAAACAAATAATTTCGTTATTTCTTTTTCAAGTAATTTCCAAAAGTTTATTTATTATACTTGAGACCATATAGTTAATATTGCAACGCCATCTAACGTTTGAATTGTTATTCTTATAGCGACTTAAAGCGACTCCACTTACTTGCGCAATGTAGTAACCGACAAGTTTGACGTAAAAAGACATGTCGTCCTCCTGAATGCTTGCGTACCTGTCGTTGATCTGGTTGAATGGTGAAACGACCACGAATCACGTGGAAAACTTTTTATCAATGTATAATCTTAATTATTCATTCATTCATTCGCTCGCTCACTCACTCACTCACTCACTCACTCATTCATTCATTCATTCATTCATTCATTCATTCATCCATTCATTCATAATTTATTTGCTCGTTCGTTCAATTTTATTACTAACCCCGTTAACAACGTGAGTGTAGAAATATCTGATGTTGTAAATAGCATCAGCTGTTCTTGCGAGGTCGTTCGTTTCCTTGCTTTGTGAGTACCACCTTTGTTCAAATTAAGGTTCGCTTTTAATCGTCACAATATGAATGACTGATTCAAACGTTTTCGTTTTGTTCTACATAGTTGCCGCTAATGCAAAGTATCAAATGTGATAATTTTTTCCCGAAAAGGTTTCGTTTACTTGTAAAAAATGGAGTAGTCTAAAACGATGAAGAGTTCAAGTCCGAATTTCCTCTTTGTAGCGCCCGATTGAAGTTGCGCATTAACCAGTTTTTCGAGGTTCGTCATCAACGATGTCACATTAGCCGATGTAGATTGGGCAGCTATTTAAGAAATAAAAATAAATATTATTAATTTATTTTCCTTCATCTGAATTTTTTGAATTAATTTTGTAGTTATAATCAGTAGAATCTGCAATAAATTTATTTGAAATCACAATTTTATAGCTGTACTTTTATTTACTCAAAAAATGTTTTAGGCTTTTCAACTTTACTTTTGTTTCAAATTATATTTTCATCTGTGTAATGTGCAAAATATATAATTTTGTTATTATAAGTCATTTTTAAGAAAAGCCACCGAAAGCAGAGGCCAGCCAGCACTCAGCAAGAAAATCAAATTTTTTCATATTTCAGAACGGCCAATCAAATTAATATATTGTTACACGTTGATAATAATTTTTAAAACGTCGATGCTGTAACATTTTTTCAACCAAAGTTGATTATATTGAACTACTGTTAATATTCTTGGATTTGTACGTTGATATTATCGAACTTATTACTAATTAAATTATCATTGTGAAAATTTTATTCAATTAAATTATTAAAACTTTTTTGATTGCCGCAAAACTTCGATGAATGAAAGGAACCAGACCTCGCAAAGTATCGTACTGACTAGCCAACTTATTTTCTTCAACAAGCAAATAGCTGGAGCCGTTGATGATCAGTGGCCTTGTCTTACTTGCTTCTAGTGGACTAGACCGCCTGCCTTCATCCGATCTTATGTAGTATTTCTTTTGGTTGTCTACAAAAGAGCCATCCTGTTTTTATAATTTGTATTTTTAAAATTAATTTTTGAAGATTTAAAGTTGATTTTTTTCATCATAGTTTACTTACATAAACAACATTTTTGATTCCATTGGTGTCCTGGATAGCTACAGAGACAGATGACTCTGAATTTAAATCGCTGTATACACTCCATGTCTGAAATAATATTCGTTAATTTAATATTTGTTGAATGCTTTAATATTTTTGTTATTTAACAAATATCTTATCAGTTTTTAACAGGTTTAATATTTAGAATTGTTTACTTCGTTTTTTGCTGTCCAAGTTTCAATCCTCCCGCGTTTATTAACCAAAACTTTCAAGTTTTTTGTGGCATTTGCTTTTTTCATTAGTTTCAACGTTTTCATCTGACTTCCGACAGGTATCTGCATCAAAATTTCTTTCGGCAGAGCACTCACGCTCTTTTCTTCAAAGTTGTCATGCTTCCATTGAACGTCGACTGGAAAAAATTCCATCACAAAAGTTAAACAAAGTTACAAATATTATTTCATAGGGTTGGTATTAAAAATATTTATTTACCTATGGGATCGATGATACATCTTCGAATCTTAACGAAGGAGTTCCTGTGAAAAGGATTTTATTTTTTTTTACCACAAAATTTGATGTTATAAATAATAGAATGTGATGTTAATTAATATAAAGAATAAGCACTTGGGTAGTTTTCCACATTTTGTTGCCTCTTCTTCCGAAAATAATTCCTGATCAACGCATTTTTTTAGTTTCGAGTTAAACCAATAATCATTGCTGCATGAGATCAAAGTCGCTCTTTCGTTGGTACATTTGTAATAGAGCGAGCAATTGGATGGATGGGCTACTCTTCCTGACCGCTGACCAGAACAAACATTTTCTGAATAGTGATTGTGAATGTTGCTATGAAGTATCGTGTAACAAATTTTTATTCAATGATCGACTATTCACCTAGGTTTATAACAAAAATTAACAAATTACAGAAGTGGTTTGTCATCTTGGTTTCAAAAAAATTGTTTGATAATATTGATGGCGTTGATGATGAACTCACTGGCATAATATTCGTAGTTGTTGATGACCAACGCATGCGACGACCAGCCACTAACCAATAGAAAACATAACAACGTCCAGGTCATCTTTCAGTTATTTCTTGCTTCAATCTCTTTCTTCTGTTGTTAACATGATTAGAAATAGGAATTTTGTATTAGTGATAGATTATATGCAGAAAATATTAATTCAAAATTTAAAACTACTTAAATCTTTTTATTTTAATAATTGAACGAACTTTTCAATAAAATAAATTTATAGGTTATCTCGCTTTTCACCGTTGAGTAGATGTTATCTTCTAAGGTTTCAAACTTTGTTGCTTTTCACTTTGTAATGTTATGCACGAGAACGAACTGTTGAATTTATAGCACTTCATGCATTGTTACACTCATAATTCTCACGATCGCTTGAGTAACATACGCACATGTTTATCATTCACCGGTTCTATCATTTCCTGCTAACTAATGAAGGTAAGAAACGAATAACAGATAAATTTAGTGAGTCATCTTCAAAGGATTGTCTTCCGTGAATTTTGTTAGCACTACACTTACAGCTTCACTTATAATTTAATCTTCTATATATTTTCAGTATATTTATGTGTAATCATACTTTTAAATATTTCAAGTAGAATCTGCATTTATTCATTTTCTAAAATATCAAAAATGACAAAAATATTAAATATGACTTGAAACAAGTAACAAATACAAACAGAAATGTTTATTAAACCACCTAGAAAATTATAAAATAATCAAAGATAATATTAATCAAGTTACCAGGGGTGGGCATACTACGGCCCGCATGCGGCCCGCGAAGCTATTTCATGCGGCCCGCGAGGACTCTCAAATCGAAAAATTTGCTTTTTAAGTTTATATGCAGCCCTTCAAAAGTTAAATAATTCTTAATGCGGCCCTCACAGCAAAAAGTTTGCCCGCCTCTGATCTGATGTTACTCTTAAGAATTGGTCGGAATTTTTAAAATTAATACAATTTGTAACAGGAAATAAACAAGTTGTCCGTAGAATTGTATGTAGGGATGTATGTAGAAGTGTATGCAGAACTGTATGTATAATTGTATGTAAAGAAGTATATATAATTTTATGTAGTATTGAATGTAAAGATTTATATAGACTGTATACAAATCTGTATGAATGCTAGCATGCAGGCGACTAACAATGACAGTTGAGTAATTCAGAATTTCATGCAACAGCTACAACTGACGGTTTATCACACACGTTAATAAATATTCAACTCATAAAGAGCACAATAAACTGTATTTGCTGGTTATTGTAGAGTTCTGTAGAATTAGTTCAAACTTATGATAAATCTTTCATTTCCAAATGTCATTCAAAAATTTCATAAATTTGTCTTACTTTATCTAAAGGTAGCATCGACAATTAATGATTTATTAAAAAAAAACATAAAGATTTTTTTCAAATTTAACAAAGTTTAAATATGGCTTACTCAGATGTTTTTTATAGTACGACATATTAAAATTCTGCTCGATAAACTTTCATATTTTTTCAACCGCGGAAATGATAAAATAGCGCTATATAATTTGTTATTTGATTGTTATATTATCTATGCTATATTTGTAATTTTTGGGAAAGTTGTAAATTTCAATGACGGCTGTATTGCTGATAAGGTTTTTATATCAGTAGGTTCAAGATTTCCGATAGATGAACAAAACTGCTTCAAACGCAAACTTTGTTGAACGTTTATTTGAATACCAACATTAATAAGAACAAAACACTAGTCCAAATAACTATATAAATCACATTTACGATTTCGCATCGAACCTGAACTTCTACCTCCACTCATTACCTCATTACCTCAACTTTAAAAGACATATTTTTAGTCCGATTTAGCTTAGACACAATTTTACAACAGCGTTTGATGATTAATCGTCTCTCGTGTCAAATGCCTTTGTGAGGTCCAGAGCTGTAGGACTGTGCGATGAGCAGGTTTCTTTTGATTGAGGCCGTTGGCAATGTCGGTGACAATTAATCAGGATGAATGCAGAGGTTGTTAAATGATAAGGGCGGAGGCCATGTTAGTTAATGTTAAATAGTGTTAAATATTTGGTTATGAGCGGCAGCAGGCATTTTTCAAGTACTTTTACGGCCGGGCATAGTAGTGGTATAGAACGGTATGATTTTGCTTCGATGTCTGGTTTGCCGGGTTTGAGAAGAGGGATTATTTTGTCTTTTTTTGTATATGTTTGGAATTCTGCAGGTTTGCAGAGATTCATTCAATGGTTTAATTAGAAAGGAAATTTTTGTATGGCCTAAATGTTTAAAGTGAACGGTTGTCAGGTTGTCTGGTCCTGAAGCTTTGGACGGTTTAGAGTGCTTTATTGCTGCTGAAACCTGATCTGGTGTGAGAGTCGGATGATCATCAAGTATTAATTTCTTGATTGTTCAATTAGTGATTCTTTTTGATTTTTTAGATGTATGATGATTAGTTGCGGTAAACTGTTTTTTGAATAAGTTGGCCATCTGCAGGTTGATTGTTGCTGTCCTGTTGTTGAAACTGATGGCACTGTTGGGATATTGTATTTGTTGGCCATTTGGAGTTTTTATGGTACTCCAAAAGGGATTGGTGTTAATATTTCTATAGAAACTGCCCAGGAAATCTATCCAGCGTGTTTGTTTTAGTTTGTTAATTTGTTGTTGAATGTCTGATGATATGATGGCGATGTCTTTGGATGAGTGGTCGGATGATTTGAGAGCAGTGTCTAATCTTATTTTTATTACTAAGATTATTGAACGATTGATAACAAAACAAATTCTTGATCACGTGAATATAAACAGGTTGCTGCCTGTCCATCAGTCTGACTTTAGGAAGCATCATTTTACTGAGACGGCGTTTTTGCAAGTTATCTCTAATCTGTTTTTGGCAATTGATGTACAGAGGATATCAATCCTGGCTTTAATTGATATGAGTTCTGCGTTTGACTGTGTTGACCACAGGATTCTACTAGATAGATTGTATCATAGTTTTGGTATTGGTGGTTTGGTTTTGGAATGGTTTAAATCTTATTTGGATGGTAGAACTCAATAGGTACTGATTGGTAGTATGAAGTCTGATGTCAGTAGGGTTATTTTCGGGGTACCTCAAGAAACAGTTCTTGGCCCACTGCTTTTTTTGTTATACACGTCAGAGACATTTAATGTTATCGAATCATTTTGGTTTTCATGTCACGCCTTCATGTTTTCATGGAATGGATTGCCATCTTCACTCAGGGATTCAGGGTTGACTATGGATTGTTTTAAAAAGACTTAAAACGTTTTTGTACACATTGTAATGAAATAGTTTAATGTGTGATTTCTTTTTTTTCATTTATATTGTTTGGTTTATTTTTTAATCTTGTTTAGTTTAAAGTAACATTCTTGTCAATTTTTCAATTGTTAAGTTCCACTGTAATAATTTATGTTATCATGATTTATGTTATCAAGTTTTATTTTTTATTTATTTTTTTTATTTTTTTCTTATTTTTTTTTTATTTTTTCATTTATTTTTATTCATTTCCCCCTATTGGCTATGGACAGATTTTTATTCTTATGTGGGCCACGCTTAAGATTATGGTGTTATGGTTATGGCTTGAGAGCGCTTTTAAATTTTATTAACTAGCGCTAGATAAATTTTTGATAATAATAATACAAACATACATGGTTTGTTGTTGGCGTTTATGATAATCTAGGCAGATAAAGACCTGCTTCATACAATAACTGATGTTTTAAATATGTATGTGGGTATTACCTTATTATAATCCCAACTGTTGGATGACTGAACTTATGAAAATGTACAGTTTAATTTGATTAATTGACTAATTAATTCATTCATTGAATGGTTGATTGATTGATTGACGCCAACAAACAAACAATAATTGCACGTTTGTCAAAAAAATTTTATTGAAGAAAATGTATTAAAAAACCCATCTGAACAGTCAGCCACATAAACAACTATTTAAAAAACCATCCAAGCAACAATTGCACGTTTGTCAACATAACTTCATTAAAAAAACTGTATTAAAAAATGTATTGAAACTTTATCTAGTCTTCAATGAAATCCAATAAAAATAAAAATTCAAAACAGCAAATAAAAAGTAAGCCATCATTATTGACATGTAAAAATACCTGGATATATGCTGAACTAAAAATTTTTAAAAAATTTACAAATATTGGGACAGTTATGCAGACCTTATAAAAAAGTAAAAAAAAAATTAGAAATGTTTCAAAACAAAATAACAACACTTAAAAAACATTCATTGGCACGTTGAACAGCATTCGACTGAGTTCATGGCGCAGTATTCTGGTTTGCACCAACTGTAGAAGTCGCCATACCTGCAGTCTATTGGAAAAATATTAATTTTAACTCATATTCAATTTGAAAATGCAGCGGCTGTTTAATTTTCAGTTAAAAGTTTTATAAATGTTCATGCTATTTAGTTGTGTGTGTTGTTAAATGAAATAAAATTTCAAAAAAATATATAATTAAAAATTCGGAGCAACCCTGGGAACAACGTCTACTAACTTCCAGTTCTTCCATTCAAATATTTCTTGCAGGTAGCACAACACGTTTTTTCAACGCTGGCATCATAACAATAACCAGCAAACAGTCCGTTGCACCAATCAGCTCCATCTAAGCACACTGGACCTGTAGTACCTGTAATAAAATTGTATTATTTAGTTTTAAGATATTTAAGTCTTCAATGTTTTGAAAAATAATGCACCAACGTACTAAGCAGAGATTGTGGCTTGATGCTAGCGCACGTTTTACAGCAGTATGCTGCAACTTCTGGTCTCTGACATTCAGTTATTCCTTGGACGTATGATTCACACCACGGTACTTGGTTCCCGTACTCACAGCCTTTTGATAAATGGTAAACGTGCAAACTAGTGTGATATATAATTTAAATTGAATCACCTTTGAAAGTGGAGTTGAAATATTTTGCACAGGATATGCAACAAATGCTTTTACTGCTGTAGCAATCCCACGAGTTTACAGAGGAACAATAATTTGCCTGGTCGCCATATGGACACGATGGAGTTTCTTTTGAAAATTTTTACGTTTTAATTCTATCATATTTATCCATAAAAATTTAAATAACTGATTAAATACATTTAATAAAAATAAAAAAGAAAAATAAATTAATAAAACATGTGAAGTTATTCATTTATTCATCTGATAAAATATGGCCGGCTGACAAACAAATTATGATAAAAAACTTAAGGTTCACATCAGCACGTCGTCTTCTAATTTAACACAGTGCTTGTATAATAAAGTAATGTGTCAATATCTACTTACTTACATAGTAATAATTTTTTATTTTTTTGTTCATTTGTTTATTCATTATGTTATTTTTTATGATCAGATATGAAATTAAAAATTACCTATTGTAAGAAATAATATACAATTTATTTTAAATTAACGATTCCATCAAAAAAATTTGTATCAAATTTTGAATTCATTAGACATGTTGAACGAAGTTTGCAAACCTGAGTTTGGAGATTTGAATTGTTTGCAAGAGGCACAGCACAAACTTGCAACTTCACTTTTCTGACACTCCACGTTACTTTTAACGTAAGTGCTGCACCAAGATGCTTGGTCTCCATATTCACAGCCTTATTGTTTTATTAATAGTTTCAACACTTAATTCGACATTCAAAAAAATATTATCAAACCTATGTTTGATGGATTGTAAAATTTTGGACACGTAGCACAGCATGTACTGCTGCTTCCATAACAAGCATCTGCTGTTATAGTTGAGCACCACGATGCTGAATCGCCATTTGGGCAACTGGCAGAAACCGGTTTTAGAGTTGTCGTGGTTGTTGTGGTTGTTGTGGTGCTAGGTAATTTAGCCGTACTAGTACTAATGTATGCTTGGCATGTCTTACAACAATAAGGCAAGTAAGATGGGTATTGGCAGACATCTAATGTGCACCCTGACATTTTGTCACCATAATCACAACCTGGGTGAAAAAAAAGTAATACAAAATGCAAAGAAGTTCTGTCAGACATCTATTAAATTTAAAAAACCTGGAATATTGGTTTGATATTGTAGACAATATTGGCAACAAGAATCGTTTGATGAGTAGCAAGAACTAGCTGAGATGGTTGGACACCAACTAACTTTATCTCCGTATCTGCAATTAGGAACAGGCAAATTCAATTCTCTTTTCAAACAGGTAGCACAACATTGTGATTGTTTGTTGGAGTCGTAGCATTGGCGAGAAGATATTGAAGCACATGTGTTATCTCGGTCACCATACTCGCAGCCTAATTATAACAAGAAAATAAAACTAATGATCGTCTAATATAAATTTTATAAAAAATAAAGTTGAACCTGGAAATTTATTATTTCTAATTTTTGCGCAAGATGTGCAGCACAGAGCTGAGTAATAATTATCGTAACACATCCAGGGCAGGTTGGATGTCATATAGGAGCAACTTATGGATCCACTCTGATAGTTGAAGACATCTTTGTAGTCACCATAGATGCACGAAGCTGAGAATATTCGTATCAAAAATAAATATTTTAATATGTCATGCAAAAACATTTATTTGTTCTCATTTAAAGAATGAAACATTTAAAAATATGTGAGCTTACCGGGCGCAGCAGAAGCCCTGTTATCGGCCACACAAACTCCTCTAATACACCAAAATTTGTTGGAACACGTTGTGCCATCTAACGCTCTTTGTTCCACTCTGCTCACGCATTTGCCTTGCGATGGATCGTAACATTTCAACTCTCTGCAGATTGATGCATCTCTTTCTCCGCCACCCTAAAAAATTTTGAATGACGCGTTTTTGTTTTGACACGCGTTTTGACAGAAAGCATTAAACTAACTAACCGCGCAGTAGAATGCGTTTTGTCCGTACAAAAGTTGGCATTGTTTGTCGACAGAATATTTCTGTCCTGGATATTGTTGAAGGAATCCAGCCTGATCAGTGGGTTCAACATCGAAAGCTTCGTTAAGCAAGCAGTTGTTGTTGCCTCTGTTAATATAAAACATTGGTTTTTAAACATGGTGTTTTTATATTGAAAGATTGTATTCTTACTGGTCCAATTTAGCTATGTAATTTCTAAAGTAGTTGATTGAACATTGAGAGAAAGTGAACGGATTGTTGAAGGTTTGGTTGGTGAGACTTCCAGGAGCAGGTGACATGATGAACTGGTCACTTGCACCGCATGTGTTGTTCGACCCATCGTGCCAAGCTCCCAAACTGTTTTCAAATTTAAAGTTTCAAATTAAACTCCGTATGTATCATATTTGGTATCGGTTTTGCAATGTTTTGAATTTGAAACAATTTTTATCATCCGTTGAAATTTTACAAATGAAACCATTCAAAAACAACATAATTTGTTCAGTTATACTCTAAACAATAAAAATGAACAAAAAACAGTTGTTTGAACATTGCACGGTAGATTCACACTTATTTGATCGTCAATATTATATTTTATATATTATTATATTATGTCATGTCATGTCGTGATTTGTTATATTATATTATGTTATGTTTTGTAATGTTATATTATATTATATTATATTATGTTATGTTATGTTATGTTATATTACATTATATTATATTATATTTTATTATGTTATGTTATGTTATATTATATTATATATTGTGTTGTGTTGTGTTATGTTATGTTATATTATAATATATTATATTATGTTATGTTATATTACATTATATTATATTATATTTTATTATGTTATGTTATATTATATTATATTATATTATATTATATTATATTATATTATATTATATTATATTATATTATATTATACTATACTAAACTATACTATACTAAACTATACTATACTATTCTGTACTATACTATACTATACTATATTATATTATATTATATTATATTATATTATATTATATCTTATCATATCATATCATATCATATCATATCCAATCGTATTGTATTGTATTGTTTGTATTGTATTGTACTGTTTTGTTTTGTATTTTATTGTATTGTATTGTATTATAATACACTACATTACATTACATTCTATTGTTTTGTGTTGATTATATTACTACACAAAAAAGTTTTTTTTACTAAAAATAACTATAAAAAAACAAATTTAATTTGACGTTTTCCACTAACTTTATTAAATTTATTAAAAATAAAAAAAAATTATTTCTAAAAGTGCCAGAAAATCAAAAAGAAAAACCAGACAAAACATAAATTTAAAAATTATTTTCGAAGATTCCGTTCAATTTAAAAAAAATGATATTCGTCAATTGTATTATTGTATTACAAATGTTTTCAATAAATTATTTAGATTAAAAAAATTGTATGATTTCTAAAAGTCATGCTTACTTGTGTCCAATTTCATGAGAAGCAGTTTCAATAGTAGCGTATTGGCCAAAATCCTTGTTAATCGAAACTCCCCGGAGAGTGCATGTTGCTCCAATGTTTGCAAGGCCAGTTATTTGGTATGTGCCGTATGAGTTGTACGCTAACATGGTATAGCTAAACATAACATTGAACAAAGGTTTTACATAAAAAAATTTCAAAACCACATCAAATTATTGAATCATGTTTGAAAGTTCTATTGGCTTGTTTAATGCACTAACTCCGTAAATAGGGCTGCAGAGTCAAATCGCGGAAATGGGCTCGGAGGTTTTACGTTGTCAGCAATCCAATTTTCAAACTCATCTAAAGCATAATATGCCTGCGTTGCAGAAGATGACAGTTTTATTCCTGGTTTTTCTGTGAATAGCGAATCACTGGGGGTCTGTAACAGATTGTTTCAGAAAAAATAAATTCTTGTAATAGCAATAAGCCTACTTTAATTGGCGCAATGGTGCAATGGCGTTTCTGCTGCAGTGACCGTGTTCGAATGTCCTTAATCGATCACTTCAAAATGTTGATTCACAGTTGATTTGCAGACGTTATGTATTTGTTGTAAATAAGTTTTTAAATAATTAATTTGTTTGTTGAAAAAATACAAATGATAAACCTGTGCTATGTAATATCCAACCAACTTGACATAAAACGACATGTCATTCTGTTGAATACTTGCATATCTATCATTAATCTGAAATTTTTGTTTTTTTTTAGTTGAGAACGCAAATGTGGTATACTTTAAAACTCAAAAGAAAATCGGTCAAATAACTAACTCCATTGACAATATGTGTGTAAAAGTATCTTATGTTATAAATGGCATCGGATATTTTGTTGCTGGGTGTTGTTTCCGAACTTTGTGCGTACCATCTGAAATCACGAACATTCATTTAATTCTTATTGCCTGAAAGTAAAGCTAGAAAAAAATTATATCAGAACATCACTTTTTCATCAAAAACTCATCAAATGTTTTCAAACATTAATATTTTCTTTATATAATTTTGAATTAATAACATATTTGTTTATATAAGTTTTTTAGAGAACGTTTAGTTTATTAAAACTCAAAATAAACTTATTTTCCGAATTCTCTAAAAACTTTAGTGAGAAAAATCGAAAAAACGAACTTCAAACTTATCAACGCCAAACATTCAGTAGAATTTATAGAATATTGTAAAAGTTATGGTCTATTACCAACATATATATATATATATATATATATATATATATATATATATATATATATATATATATATATGTGTGTGTGTGTGTGTGTGTGTGTGTGTACACAAATAATATATATATATATATATATATAATATATATATATATACAATATATATATATATACAATATATATATATAATATGTATATATACACATACATATATATATGCAAGATGTATATATATATATACATATATATATATATATACAATATGTATATATATACAATATGTATAAATATATATATATATATATTTATTATTATTTTCGACAATTTATTAAGCGCATTATAAAATTAAAATTTCTCGAAAGCGCTCTCTATTATAAATGAAAGTGAAGGTCAATAAAGTACAAATCGATAAAGTATTTCTATGTCAAAATAAATATGTTTTAAGTTCCTCTTAAAATCATCAAGCTTTAGTCCAGGCATTCTGAGCGATTGCGGAAGACTGTTCCAGGCAATTGGTCCTGACACGGCAATATTTCTAGTTGCAGTTTGTGGTTGAGTAGTTGTCACTGCCAGTAGGTTGGCATAGTCTGATCTCAATTTTACACTTGTTGAAGAAGCTGGTTTTTTTAAGATTTTATTTACTAGATATACTGGTAACAACCCGTTCATAGCCTTATACATAGTCACACAAATCTTTTAGTTGATTCTTTTTTTCACTGTTAGCCAATGTAGGTCTCTTAGAATGGGTGTCACATGGTCATACTTTCTACGTCCAACAGTTATTTTTGCCGCTCTATTCTGTATCGATAGAAGAAAAGCAATAGATTTTTTTGGTAATTCATTGAACAAGCTATTACAGTAGTCTAACCGTGAACGAACAAACGCATGCTGTTTGATGCAAAGATTTTCGAACGCGGTATAACTGGCAAAGCTGATAAGAACATAATTTAGATATGGTTTTTATATGATCCTCGAAGGATAATCTCGATTCAAAAATACATCCTAGGTTTGTTGCATTTTCACAGAATTGTATTTCATTATTATCAATTTTGACTGAATTAATATTAATTTTAGAAAGCTGTTGCCATGTACCGACAGGTAAAAATTGAGTTTTCTCTTGATTCAATTTGAGACAATTTCTTGACATCCATGTACCTATTTTAGTCAAGCATTCAATGAGATTTTCAACTTTACTTTTAAACAGTTCTGATTCACTGCTAACTATTATTTGGATGTCATCAGCGTACGCATGGTATGAAAATCCAAAGGATTCTATTATTTCATATGCTTCAGCAGTGTACATTACAAACAGAATAGGTCCCAGGACTGAGCCTTGTGGTACACCAGATGACATTGCTTCAATACCAGATAATTTTTTCCCGAAAAAAACCTGCTGAGTTCTGCCAAACAAGTACGAATTGAACCAATTAGCTACAACGCCAGTAACTCCGTAATCATATTGTCAGGATTTGATGGTCTACGCTATCGAAGGCAGCACTCATGTCCAAGAATGTAAGCAACGAAACATATTGTTTATCAATTGCATTAAACAACTCAGACATAACATACAGCAGTGCTGTTTCAGATTGAAATACTGGTATTAAGCTATTTTTGTGTAGATGACTTAGTAGCTGACTGGCAACAACTCATTCAATAACTTTGGAAACAAAGCAAATGTTTGATATGGATCTGTAACTTTTCATTTCATTCCTATCATCTTTCGTTTTCTTCAAGACAGGTGTAATAACTGCGTGCTTACATTTATTCGGAAATACTTCCTCTTGCAAACATAAGTTAACGAGGCTTGAAAGAAAACCAATAAAAAATATCTATATGTTTTTTAAGCACATGAGTCGGAAAAACATTTAACATACAGGTTTTGGCTGGTAGACCAAGCACAATTTTCTTTATGTCTAGTTTATCAACAACAGCAGAATTTGTGAGCAGACAACTTTCGGTAAGCCTACATCTGTCAAAAAGTAGGTTTTTTGTTAACACTAATAGTATGCTTGATCCAATCGGTCTTTTCTTGAAAAAAAACCCATAAATTAAGAAGCGGCGATGTCGACATTATCATAAAGTAAGCTACAGTTATTATCTTTACAAAGAATTTTGTTTACTACGTTCCACAGATCCTTTGAATCACCATTACTATCAGCAATCAACGTTTTCCAGTAATCTTTTCTTTTTATTGAAAATAGTTTGGTTTTCATTTTTCAAAGAAACAATCCATTCATTTCGACTCACTGATGACAAACAACATCTGTATTTCCTTTCTTTACTTCGGCAGTTTCTTTTAGCTGCTCTACACTTACACTCATCATCAAACCATGGAGCCTTAAGATCACTTCTATGCTCGATAGACCGGAGAGGCGCAATTTTGTCAGCAATCTTCCTCATTCCGCTGGAAAAGAAATATTGCAAAACAAAGAATGATGATGATCGGAAAAATTGGTATGATGCCCTGAAGGACAGGAAAGTGTTGCTGATAGACAAGAAAAATAGTTATTGGCGAAATCAGATAGCATCTTGCAAAAAGAATCCTTCTCAACTTTGGCGTCATGTGAACAAGATGATGCATAAAAATGTAAAGATGTCAGAGTCAAAAAAGACAGAATTTTCATCTGACGATTTTATCAAACATTTTGAAGACAAAGTTGATAGAGTAATGAGGGCGACTCAGCATTATGATTTTCCTGAAATTGAAGAGTTGTCTGTTGGAGTATTGGATAATTTTGAACCTTGCACAGAAGAAGAGGTTCACAAAATAATAACGCAATCACCGTCAACGACATGCTCAGGTGATCCTGTCCCAACATACATTCTCAAGGAGTTTCTGAATGTTCTTCTACCCTTCATAACTGTCATGGTCAATGCATCTTTGAGAGACGGAATTTTACCAAAGATAGCCAAGCATGCAATTGTCACGCCGCTGTTGAAAAAACCCCAGTCAGATGTGTCTGATCCGGGCAATTATAGACCAGTTTCAAAATTAACTTTCTTGTCTAAGTTAATCGAAAGAGTGGTAGTACGACGGCTGGAGCAGCATTTAGACAAACAGAACCTGATGCCGTATGCACAATCTGCCTACAGAAGACATCATTCGACTGAAACAGCATTAACTCGTCTGTTGGTAGATGCGTACGAAGCTGTTGACAAGAAAAGGGTTTCTCTCTTGGCACTTTTGGATATGAGTGCAGCTTTCGACTGTGTCAATCATGACGTGCTGCATTTGGTTTTGAAAAATCAATTTGGTTTGAAAGGCAAGGTACTTGGTTGGTTGTCATCATTTGTTTGCGAGAGAACGTATGAAGTGGTCTACGGGGTACAAGCATCAACAGTCATGGAAATAAAGAACGGAGTTCCTCAGGGCTCAGTGTTAGGCCCACTCCTTTTTCTCCTGTACACTTCAGGAGTAGCGAAATTGTTGAAACATAATGATCTGCGCGTGTACGCATATGCAGATGACATACAGATCATCAGCAGCGCTGGGGTGGGGTCGGTGGGGGAAATGGTTGAACTTGTCTCAGAGAAAATAATGTGCCTAAAAAATTGGTTGGGTTCGTACAGACTAAAATTAAATGAGGAAAAAACACAAGTAATGTTGATTGGAACTAAACAACAGCTCTCGAAAACTGATGTAAAGAGCATAAGATTTAGGTCTGTGATGGTGCCGTTCACTGGTGTGGTGAAAAATTTGGGTTTCTGGTTGGACAGTACACTGAATATGCATCAGCATGTGAATAACCTCGTTAGGGACTGTTCATTTCAGCTTCGACAGCTTGGCCGCATAAGAGCCTCTCTTGATCTGGATTCAACAAAATCTCTGATCCATGCGTTTATGG